ATATCTCTAATTGTAAGAAAATGAGTCAATGTTTACAATTGAAACGTTTAATAATTTATTGGATATTTCATATTTTGTTATTTACTCAATAAATTGGTCGCGACATGTTATAGACTTCGATTTTGTATGATTGTTATTTACTTTCCATCAGTCAAATAAATGTTAGACTTTGATTTTGATTTGTCAACTTTTAGGCGCAGACATCAGAGCAAACAGCAAATTAATCATATTCAGGTGCTGACATTGAACGTTCAGCAGGTGTATGTGTATGTGTGTGTGCATGTGCGTGTGCGTGTCTGTATTTCATGTGAAACATCGATCGATCTATAAATCAGGTGTGTGTGTGTGTGTCGCAGTTAAAACAGAGTTGAATTTTTGCGCCCATCAATTACAATTCATTTGAATTTATTTAAATACACTTGACTCGCGTTTTTTTTAATTTATGTTTTTCATGAAATGTTTATTTTTTTCATTGAAATGTTCGAACTGTTGATACCAACGTCGATACATCAAAGTATCAAATGCAGCTAATACGATAGTAATAAATTATACTTATCAATGATAAGCGAAAGAAATATGCGCTCAATGCAAATGAATCACAGCTCAAATCAGAATTTCCATTCAAATTTAACGATCTTTCTGGAGCAGTTCTAGTTCCGCAAATAAGAACAAGAACAAGAACAAGAGCAAGAGCAAGAGAATCACACAGTTGATTGTGCATCGCATGTAAATTGCTCATATTAACAGTTCTTGGCTTGCCTCTCTCTCTCTCTCTCTCTCTCTCTCTCTCTCTCTCTCTCTTTAGCTCTCTCTGTGTGCGTGCGCTCATTTTACACTCAATTTCGCACTTCCTTTTCGTTGAGCTCAATTGCATGTTTTAGCACCTCGTTGAGTTATTTTCATGCTCTGATTTATCGTCTTATCGCGCACAGCCGAAAACTAATTCGGACTTAACGATTTGCGTATGACGCTTGTAACGTACATATAAGTATTTCAGTTAAGATTTGCACTACTTTGTATTAAATATATAAAAATGATATAACATTATGTCAACAAACATAAAGTAATAAAAAATTTATAAACAAAATTTTGGTTTTTATGACCAACTAATAAAAGAATTTATACTCCTGTCTGTTCTATCTCTTTGCTAATTTGTACAGGTTTCTCAGTTATCTCAAATAATCAGAGTATAGCACTATATGTCTTTTTTTTATGTTCATTCTGTGATGGGGGACTTACTGCTTGGGATATCCAAGTTTTTTTTTTGTCACTTCCAACTTGAAAGAGTTCGATAAATTTTTAATCATGCGTCACAGCACACGTGAGATACATATGTTTTAACATTATCAATCATGTGCAATGTTGCTTTGCTGTTTCTTTTCTTTGAATTGTTGTTAAACACTTTTGAGCAGATCTCGATGGCTGCGCATACGCCGAGCTGGCCGTAGGGCATTGCATGCTCAGCGCTGACCAATTGCCAGTATGTCCGCTCCGACCTGTGCGATCAGCGGCGGTGGTGGCGGCGGCCGTTTGCTCCACTTTTTTTTGTTGTTTTTTCATTCTTTCTTTTTTTTTTTTTACACACTTGATTTTTTTTTGCAGCTACCACTTAAGCGTGAGTTTTGCTTATGAGCGCTAAGCCTGCGCTGGCGTCTCTGTAGGCGTGATTAGCAGTAGCAGCGGCAGCGGCAGCGTCATCAGCTTCTGTTATCCAGCCATTTGAGCGCGTGTGTATGTGTGCATGTGTGTAAGTAAGCTCTCGAGTGTCTGTTATCAACACTATCTTTTGCTATAGATGTTCCACTGCCGCCGCTGCTGCTGCTTCTTCTTGTTGCTTCTACATTGGCTTCGCCTCCGCTGCTCCCGTTGATGATGCCGTTACTCGTATATTAAGCTTATGTATGTAGGCGTAAAGCTATAGTATGTATGTATGTATGTATGTATGTGTACAAGTGTAGGCATGTGTGTAGTTATCTGTGCTCAGGTCTTAGGTAAAACAAATTTGAGTCAACAGATTAGACTCTCGAGGGATAGGGCAGAAAAAACATTGTGATAATTCAACTCAAATAATCTGTGTCATCAGTCGTATTATTGGCAGATGCAAAACGGTGCGCGCGACGTGCACGCGGCGCTGTGCACCAGCCACAGTGTCCACACTCCCAATGAATACATGGTGAAAACGAATTGAAGGACTTACGCATGCGCCGGTGCTGCCAGATCAATCGAAAGGATGGATGTGTCAAATGTCATGTGATGATGGAAACTTTATTGTGGGCGGGTCGCATGGTTAAGGTGGGTCTTGGCGCCTTCGTCGTAAAGCAGTAAATCCGTAGACAAAGCATTTGCGCTCCGGCAGTTGCTGTGTTGTCTTTGTTATTGCTGTTGTTGTTACTGATATTGTTGTGGGTGTGTTTGGGTTTGGCGTCGGCATTGGGATCGACGCGTCGTCGCCATTTGGGAAGGGGGAGGCCCATGGCCCGTACATGTAGTAGTAGTCGGAACTGAGACCCGTTGGGTGGGTAAATACGCCGACAAATTTGCTGCCATGCTAGTGAAAATAGCAACAACAACAACAAGAACATCTAAAGAGTATAAGAACAATGCAAAGCCGAAATCAATGCCTCGCTGGGCACAGTAGTTACTGATTGGAAGAAAAATAAGTCAATACCTAAGCCTATTCCGAATGTTGGTTGGATTGGATAAGTATATATACCTATATACAGTCGAGTACGGATAATTTGAAATGGCAAGAGGATTAGCTTTTTTTCGAATAACAGAGAAATTAAAATTATTGAAAACTAATTATTTTAAAGGGGATAGAATTTTTTTGATTTACCGAAATTTTTTATTTAACGGGGTACAAATTATCGACACTCGACTGTATATGGTTTTTACTTTTGTTTTGTACTTATTGTACTTATTACATTAAGCTAGCTCTCAAATCATAGACTTTTAGATGGTTTATCTAAAATTTATGTCAGGAAATTTAGCTACTGATGATTAAAACTTAGGTTTATTATCCTTTGAATTGGCTATAGAGTGTGCCTTAGCTAAGCACACCATGCCATCAGCATTGTACCACGGTGCGATTGCTCTACTGCCGTTCATTGGTAGCAAACCGTAAGTACTACATGCTCGAGCTGCTCGTACAGTGAGGGAGAAGGAAAGGGGTGAAAAGGAGATGGCGTTAAAAAAAGTGTTCGCAATTTTCGTAGTTGTCTTTTGTCGATCGCCGATTTATTTACTTTGTGATTTTCTTTTTTTTTTCTACACGTGTATTAGTTAGTCGCAGTAGACAACAGCAAACCGTGTGCTGTGTGTGTATGTGTGTGTGTGTGTGTGTGTGTGTGAGTGGAGGTGGAGCTGGGCTGGGACGTGCAAAGAGGCGTGAGGGCGAGGTCGGCGTTAGCTCGTCGCTATTTGACACAAACCACTCACTCAAACCGAATTCCCCGATCGGATTCACATACGCGCACAACGCGAAAATACTCCAAATCAACAAATTCGGCTCAAAGTGAGTGAACAACGGGATTAAAAAAAATATACATACATACATATAATATACATACATGCATACCTATGTATATGTATGTGCATATGTATGAAAATAAAATAAAATAAGTACCATACTAAAATTCTCACACATGTTTTTACAAAGCGAATGAGCAAAGGAGAGCACACAAGTGAGTGAGTGAGCGGTTAAGCGACTGCGCTCAACTGTTACTCCCTCCCTCTCTGTCGCTCTGGCTGTCGTCTGTGTGCGTGCGAGCTAGACGAAGACGATCGGCCGTCAAAAGGAGGTGTTGATAGTCGGACTTGGCTGTAGCTTTAGCGCCGGATATCATCGACCAGTCATATGATGGACGTATCGCGCACCGTAACGGCGTAGCGAGCGTTGTGCATTGTGCGCGTGTGTGTGTATGGGTGTGTGCCCTCTGCAGAGCATTAAAGCCTGTAATCGCAAGCGTAAGCGTAGCTGTAACTGTAACCGTTACCGTTACCGTTGCCGCTAATGCCGTTTTACCGTTAAGCTGTCAGCGAAAATTCTAATTTCAATTCGTCAACGCTGGCTGCGCAGCTGCCGCGAGCGCTCGGCTGGTGGGTGGCAGAGACGTGAGCTATCCAAGCATTTCAATTTAAATCAACGCTACACATACATGCGCACAGACGGAGACTCGGAGACACGGACACACGGAGACACACAGGCACACACGCACACAGACAGACAGGGGCACACACTAAAAGTATCAGACCGCCGCCTGCAGCGCTTCAATTTCAATTCAATGCGCGCCGTGTAACGGTTAACGTCCTGTTCGTCGCGATCAACGGTTGCGCTTTTATTTTATTATTTTATTTAATTTTTTTTTTTGCATTTCTGTTTCGTTCGTTCTGCAGCGGCTTTAACTATTTTGTTTTCTCGCCGCGCGCTGTGTTATTGTTATTGTTGTTTTTGTTTTTTTGTGTGTTATTTTATTATTGCAATTTTATAACGGTACAAAGTAAAGATATTTTGTGAAGTGCGAAAAATTTCTTGATTTTGTTTGCATCTCGGATTACTTAAGTGTGGGTATTATAATTTGTTATTATCATAAATTATACTTTAAAAAATACTGAAAGAAAAATATCAACAATATCCGCTTATAGAAATAGTGCAAAGAAAATACTAGAATTTCTGCAGATCCTGTGGTAACGATTCGTACGTGTGTTTTTTATTTGTTTATGGGGCAGCAAAAAAATACATTCATATATGTATGTCTATAAATTAATCAGAATCATTTGATATCAGCTTTAATTCAAATCCCATTACTCGCTTGCTATATCATTTATATGGCAAGGCTGATGAACTCTGCTTTAGTATTACACATATGTACATATATACATACATATGTATATGTGTATGTATATATTTGGTATATGTGTGCGTATAGGCTTGATCCATTGTATTCCTGCCTTCTTATGTCCAGCAAAGTGTCGAAATCATTTTGCTGCATTATCAATATAAATGTACTTCTATATGTAATATGTTCAAGTGTCTCTGACTCTGGCTTATCAGATGATCAGGTTTTGCGAAAATGTTTATATACATACATGTGTCTATATATATGTATATATCCATATATATACATATATATGGGCACGTTCCCATGATCGCTTACAAGCCGACTTTCATATTTAGAAAACTCCAGTTAAATAGGTAGAGCTAACCCTTGGTGATATTGTAACTGAAGTTTGTTGAGGGGAAATTTTGATAGAAACATTTTTTTCTATATAATATTACTTTTATGTGTAGCTATCTTCTCTTTCTCTAGCTCTCTATTTCTTCCTGCCTTAATAGTTCGAGGATAACATTATTATTTATCCGTTTGAATTTATATACTCATTCATGAAGTAAAAAACCGGTATATTGGCTTCATGCAATGTTCGGCATGCTGTTCTTAGGTCCAATCCATGATCAAAAATATATAATAGATATAGCCATGACGATTGTGTACAAAATATAGCGATAGATTTACAGCGGAATTGAACATTGTATTCTGCAATATTATAACTTGATTTATGATAGATATCACTCGCATATGAATATATTAACATATAAACTAAAGGTTGATTCTGTATTCAGTTTTCTTTTAACGTGACTTAAGTGTAGTACAAAACTCTGTTCTCTTCTCAAGTCTGAAATAATAGATATTTATGTTTTAAGCATAGCTTCTTGAAATATTTGCTTAAATTTAATTTTAAGCACGTTTCATTCACTGAACAATCTAAACGATCTTTAAAATGCAACTGTGCTCCACTTAAGACAGCACGTCTAAGCAAATATATATATGTACAAATATATACTTTATATAATTATATAAACTGTAAGTACATATGTATATGGCTGTAATCAATCTGTGTGTGTGTCAGGCCTTTAGACCCCCTGAATCGTACGGCTCTATAGATTGACTGTCACTTTAATGAATGCGCTTAATTAGCGAAATTGTTGTATTATAATGCAATTGTTTTTCGACCGATTGTTTCGATCTTCAAACCGACAAAAACATAAGCGAAACTATAGAAATTCTTTAGGCTAGTCCCTATATAGCATTATATGGTATATTGTATACAAAATGTGTTGTTGCTCATCTTATCTCTGTGCTTTAGATTTTAGTCGGTTTGCTTTTGTTTGCCATCAATCATGTTGCTGGCAACAAATGTTGCCAGAGCCCCAAATGTTGCCAGCAACATTTGTGATTGCATTGCAAAATCCTTCAATGATCTACAGATAAGAAATACCATGAAAATGCGAATGAAGCCGGGTATAATGTATTCCATGCACATTTATGTAACAGCTACAACTATAACATTTATATATATTCTTGATCCTCAGAAATAGCAAAGCCGATCAAGTGCCTTAAGCTGCTCTAAGCTATGAGAATTTTGTAAAATTTATGTACAGTTTTAATTATCGATAAAGTTGCATATTATCGATAAATATCGAACAAAAGATTAGGACATGCTATGTAATATAAAAAAACAATAAATATATGTAATATAAAAAACAAAAGACTTCAATTGGGAATTCTTGAATGTAAAAGCAGATCATGTTTCATGAAGGTTTCGTGTATGATCGATAAATATCGAAATCTTTAAGGCCTTCTCTATTGAGCTTTCTAAACTAACTTAAGCAGCGCAATTGTTGGTCGAGCGTTTGTGACGAATGGAACCTTTTGCGTTATTAGTTATTTGGGACGATCGTTTTAAACATATTATCGACATTTACTCGGTTTGTCAGTTGGCATTATTAATTGTCGTGTAACTCAGCGCCATTCGCTTCTGCTCTGTCCCGCTCCCTCCCACTACGTCAGCTGTGCAACGACATCATCAAGTTAGTTAGGAGTCGGTGGAGTCTTGTTTCTTATCAATGGCACCAAAGACAAGAACTAACGGGAGCACACGATTGACGATCGACGATCAATGTCTGGGACATTGATAGATCGAAATGCAATTAATCATGTATATGAAATGGTTTGTTCAGCAAATGTCAACATAATTAGCATTGCGATCGAAACGAAACTTGGCAAAAAAAATTCCAAAAATTAAAGAAATTAGTAGTAGTAATAGTAGCAGTAATAGTAGTTGTAATAGTAGTTGTAATAGTAGTAGTAATAGTAGTAGTAATAGTAGCAGTAATAGTAGTAGTAATAGTAGTAGTAATAGTAGTAGTAATAGTAGCAGTAATAGTAGTAGTAATAGTAGTAGTAATAGTAGTAGTAATAGTAGCAGTAATAGTAGTAGTAATAGTAGTAGTAATAGTAGTAGTAATAGTAGCAGTAATAGTAGTAGTAATAGTAGTAGTAATAGTAGTAGTAATAGTAGCAGTAATAGTAGTAGTAA